CCCCCACAAGAGTCTCCAGTGTCTGTTTCCCAACCTTATGTCCATGTGTACACCCAGTGTTATAAATGAGAACATATGGCATTCAGTTTTCTGTTTCTGCATTTAAAGGATTAGTTTTCAAGCAACTTTTAAAGTTTATCTATTTATATATAGTGAAATTTACTTCTTTGGTGTATAGTTCAATGAATGTTGACAGATAGTGTGGTTGTATAACCACTATCACAATGAAGAAATAACTTCTATCACTCTCCAAAACTCATGTGTACCTATAGAAGTCAATACCTTTTCCTACTTTCAGCCCTTGGCGGCTACTTTTCCACAGCGTCATTTGTTGGAGCAGATAGTGTGTGGCCTTTTAAGTCTGGATTTTTTGGTTTGGCATAATGCATTTGAAGTTCATCCATTTTGTGTGTATCAGTAGTTCATTTCCATCATTGAGTAGCATTTCATTTTGTGGGTATACCACAGATTTTGTATCTCTTCACAAGTTGAAGGATGTTTGGGTTGTTACCAGTTATACATGATCAGGAATAAAGACACTGTAAATATTTGTATACTGATTTCTGTGTGAAATAGAAGTAAATTTCTAGGAATGGGATTACAGGGCTGGATGGTAGGTGCATGTTAAACTTCAAAAGAAATTGCCAAAGTGTTTTCCAAATGGTTGTATGATTTTACATTCCCACCAAAAATATAAGAGGGTTTTAGTTTTACATATTCTTGTTAGCACTTGTTATTATCAGTATTTTTTATTTTTGTCATTCTAATATGATATAGTAATATCTGGTGTTTTAATTTTCATTTATTTGAATAATGACATCCCATCTTTTCTGTGCTTATTTGCCATCTGTATATGTTCCTTGGTGAAAGGTCTGTTTAATGTCTTTTGCCTAGTTTTGTTATCAGGATGCTTTTTTTCTTTTTTTTAAAAACTTTTAATTTTTTTATTTTAAAGATGTGAGGTACAATTCAGGGTTACATAAACAAATGATCATTATACAGGTACCCTTTTTGATAAGGTGTGCCCCCGCCCCTTCCCCAGGCAGATTCTCACTACTGCCAATCCTGCTTCTCCGCCCCCCTCGCAGCAGTTTCGTGCTACTGCCAATCCTTTTCTTATAATATTATGATAATTGTTCAAGGTCCACTTATGAGTGAGAACATGGGATACTCAGTTCTTTGTTTTGATGAAAGATCGCTCAGTATTATAGACTCTAAGTCCATCCAGGTTGCTGTGAGAGTTATTATTTAAGCTTTTTTTTGAGTCAGAGTCTCACTCTGTCACCTAGGCTGGAGTGCAGTGGCATGCTCACAGCCACTGTAGCCTTGAGCTGCTGGGCTCAGGTGATCCTTCCATCTAGGCCTTCCAAGTAGCTGGAACTACAGGCATATGCTACAACGCCTAGCTAATTTTTTGATTTATTGTAGAGACGAGGTCTTGCCAATTTGCCCAGGTTAGTCTCGAACCCATGGGCTCAGGCAATACTCTTGCCTCCGCCTAAGCTTTTTTTTTTTTAAAGATAAATGTTTTGCAGATATTTTAAGAACAGCTTTTCATTTTAATGAAATCCAATGTATTACTTCCTTCATGGATTATATCTTTGGCATCACATCTAAGAAATCTTTGTCTTGCTCAAGTACACAAAAATTTTCTTTTAGAAACTTTATAGTTTTAGGTTTTACCCTTAGGTTGATGGTCCTTTTTGAGTTAATTTTGTTTATGGCACTATATTCTTTTGCAAATGTATACCTAGTCATTTCAGCACTATTTGTTGAAAAGATTATACTTTCTACATGGAATTTTCCTTGCAACTTTGTCAGAATTCAGCTGACTAAATATGTGTGGATCTACTGCTAGACAGTCTACTCTGTTCCACTGATCTATGCCAGTATCAAACTGTTTGATTATGGTAATTTTTGGTAAACCTTGATATTAAGTATTATGAATACTCCTACTTTGTTCATGTTTTTCAAAGTTGCACTGACACTTCTAGATACTTTGCATTTTCATATAAATCTTAAAATCAGCTTATTATGTTTGCAAAATATCCTGCTAGAATTGTTATTTGGATTGTGTTGAATATGTAGATCAGTTTGGGTATTTTTTTTTTTTTTTTTTTTTTACTTAGGC